TCAGGAATCCAACCCAGACCTCTCAGTTCATGGGATGATGCTCAATCCACTGAGCCTCACTGGCCAGGCTAATTTAATATTTTTAATAGAGTGTGTTCTCTACCATGTGGTAAAGCTTTGGTACTATTCATAGAAAACTGCATATCCTAATGACTTGACATTTCCCCAAGAGGAGCTTTGATTCTGCTTTAGAAGTTTCATATAAATTAAAATCTTCATCAAATATCAATATGAGGGAGGTGACACAAGATACAACATATACAGTCTAGTTACCTCTTTGTATATTTACAAATAACTCCTTCAAGATATTTACATGTGAGATCTTATTCTGTCCTGCTTGGTATTCAGCAGTACAGGTTTGAATCATCAGAACCTTGGCAAGACCTTAATATTTAAAAATTATTAACAACTACCTCTAGGGGCAAGTCCAGGTAACTGGTTTATGACAAATTTATATCATGAAGGAAAACAAGTACCTTTTAAAAATGCCCCAGCCACTGCTTCTTAATAAAGAAAGACTAAAACTACGTGCGTTTGTCATACACAAAATCCTATCTCTGTCCCTTGAAATTTCCTTAGTTTCATTCATTAGAAGGGGATTTAAAAGAAAAAGACTTAAAAAGCACTTGAGAGCAGCATTCAGCTTTCTCATGAAATACTCAGCATTTTAAATATTATGTACATGACTTTTTTTCTTTTGTGAGCTAGACATTGTCTTCAGAGTTTGTGGACCTTGTGAAAGTAGAGGAAAAAGAACCAGTTCAGGACTATTCTAGAAATTGTCTTTTGGCAGAACAACAGGGAGCCAAGTTAAAAACAGGAGGGTCATTTTGTTGCTGTGTTTTTTTTATTTTTCTGAAGTTTTAATCGTTTTTTGTTCTCCTTCTGCATAAACCTCAGTCATCACTCCTGAGTGGAGATGGGCAGAAGCTCTGGCTCCTGCTCCTCTGGCTTTTCAGCAGCTGCTTTCTCATTGCTGCAGCCGGTTTGAATAGCTGTGTCAAAGAGGACTTCCCCAAAATACTGTTATAGTTAATCCCACAACATACTTTCTGTCTTTTCCAGTATGTGAGATCTATAAAGGAAAAAAACGGCGTTCTGTTAGAGCCCGAAGCCATCTCTGTATCTGAGCCATCATCTGACTGGTTACTGGAGATTGAACGGGGCCGGGCACTTGAGGTGGTACTATGAGCATCAGAATTGTGACACTTAATCCCTTCTGCAGTTTGCTGATGTGATTGCTTTTCATCCTTTTTCCAGACAGAGTTTTCACTTTCTTTGGTTTCAGTGTAGTCTTCAGACTGGGTCCTGCCCATGCATCTACCATGTGGTTGCAGTTTTGTTTTGTTTTTTAATACTGCTGACAGTTTCTTCCATCTTTTCACAAGCAGGACACGGGCATTACGGTTGTCTCCTGAATGAGCCTCATGCAACCCAAAACAGCTCTGGAAATCCTTTTTATAGTGTTTACTGTCAGTGAGTTGAGAACTGGAGGACCTAACTCTGCTAAATACAGCAGCCTTCTATATTTTGGTACATCTTTGGCTTGTGAGAACCAACCATCTTTTCTTCTGGGCAATAGTGTTCCAAAAACAGCCATTTCACACACAATAATGTTCCTGATGTGTAGAGTGCACCACAGGCCAACCCTCCCCCCTACAATCGCTCTCTCCTCAATTGCCTAGTTTAGAAAGATTGTTTCCTGCATTGTATTTACTTTTAAGTTAAAGTAAAGAAAAGAAAAAGAACCTTTGCCCTGGCCGGTTTGGCTCAGCGGTTAGAGCGTCGGCCTGCGGTCCGGAGAGACTCGGGTTCGGTTCCCGCTGAGGGCACGTGCTTCAGTTGCAGTTTGTCCCCGGCCCTGGTTGGTCTCTCTCTCCTTCCCTCCCTCCCTCCCACTCTATCTGAAGATAAATGGGAAAATATCCTTGGGTAAGGATTTTTTAAAAAAAAATATGGAAGGATTAGGGGAATTAATAAATATGTGATAAAGAGAATATAGAAGTACTCCTGAAACCTATACAATTTTAATAATCAATGTTATACCAATAAATTCAATTAAAAATGTTTAAGAAGAGAGAACATATATAGGAGGGCAGGATTTCTATCTCAATTTCTCCTGGCCATTTTCCAACTAGGGTTGGATCTAGGGCTGAGCCAGAAACTGATTCAGATCTACACTTTGGAACATGAATATTGCTGTGAAACTTTTTAAATAGAAGGTTCTTTTTCTTTTTTCTTTTTTTTTTTTTATCCTCACCCGAGGACATTTTTCCATTTTTTGTACAGATAGAGTGGGAGGGAGAGAGAGAGAGAGAGAAACATTGATGTAAAGGGACACATCGAGTGGCTGCCACCCGCACGACCAACCAGGGCCGGGGACAAACTGCAACTGTGGTACTTGCCCTTAGCGGGAACCAAACCCTAGTCTCCCTGTACCGCAGGCCGACGCTCCAACCTCTGAACCAAACCGGCCAGGGCTAAAGTCTTTCTTTTGAGATAAGTTTAGACTTTCAGAAGAATTGCAAAAATATCAGTTTTCTTATATTCTTCACCCAGTTTCCCTTATATGAACATTCTGCATAACCATAGAATAATTATCAAAAGTAAGAAATCAATATTATTGAAATGCTATCAAGGTAAACTACAGACTGTATTTGGATTTCACCATTTTTTTTTTTAATCCTCACCCGAGGACATTTTTCCATTTTTTGTTCAGGTAGAGTGGGAGGGAGAGAGAGGAACAGAGAGAGAGAGAGAGAAACATCGATGTGAAAGGAACACATCGAGTGGCTGCCACCCGCACAACCAACCAGGGCCAGGGACAAACTGCAACCGAGGTACGTGCCCTTAGCGGGAACCGAACCTGGGTCTCTCAGGACCGCAGGCCGACGCTCTAACCACTGAGCCACACCGGCCAGGGCTCACCATTTTTTTTTTCACTGATGATCATTTTCTACTCCAGGATCAAACCCAGAATCCCACTTTGCATTTTGTTGTTTTATCTCCTTAAGTCTCTACCAGTCTGCCAACAGTTCATCAGTCTTTTCCTGTCTTTTGTGACTTTGACACTTTTGAAGAATACTGCTCAGTTATTTTTTTAGAATATCTTTCAGTATGGGTTTGTCTGATTTTGTTTGTTTCTTCTGATTAGGTTGAGGTTATATATTATTGGGAAGGATACCACAGAGGTAATACCCAAGTGTATTATATTAGGGGGCACATGATGTCGATATGTCTTACTATTGACCTTGATCACTTGGTTAAGGTGGTTGTCTGCTAGTAATTAATAAATATTCTATTCCTGCCCTGGCCAGTTTGGTTCAGCGGTTAGAGCATCGGCCTGCGGTCCTGAGAGACCCGGGTTCGGTTTCCGCTAAGGGCGCGTACCTCGGTTGCAGTTTGTCCCCGGCCCTGGTCGGTTGTGTGGGTGGCAGCCACTCGATGTGTTCCTTTCACATCGATGTTTCTCTCTCTCTCTGTGTTCCTCTCTCTCCCTCCCACTCTACCTGAACAAAAAAATGGGAAAATGTCCTTGGGTGAGGATAAAAAAAAAAATGTTTGCTGTAGGGACATTCTTGGTCATTGAGACTAATAGTCTTCATTCAGTAAAAGAGGTGGTGTTTTCCCTCATCCTAGTCACACATCCCAAATACACCCCACCAGGCAGAACACACCTTGTCCTAGTCTGCCCTTGTGCTTGTTGGCCTGGCCTGACGGCAGCCTTGTCAGGCTTGTAACCCTAAGTACAGAAGGTGCTGGTCTGTGTTGGGGGCTCCCACTGTGGGGCAGCAGGTCGTGAGAAGGCAGTGTTGAACCTCGACCTGCAGGATGATAAAGGTAGCCAAGCTAAGGAAGGAATGGAGGAGTACAGGAGACATGGAAACAGCTTGTGCCAGTGTTCAAGGGACTTCAGAAACTCCTTAGACAGCTTGTGTTTAGAAAGCAAGGGAGGAGTAGAACAAGGTGAGGCTGCAAACACAGATGGTGGGGCTATATCTGATTGTGTGCTTCCCTGAATATTCAAAAATGCCTGATGATTCCTTTTTGCCCTCAGACTAAAGTCCACATTATCAGGTAATGAAGACTATTGTCAGTCAGCCTCATCCTCCCTTTAAAGCCCCTTTTCTGCTGCCTTCTCTGTTTTCCCTGTGCCCCATGTTTTAGCTGTGCTACGATTTTATTCTTCTTCAAATTGAACGTCCTTGGTCCTTGAACCTTTGCCGTCTGTATTGTCTGGCTGAAATACTGTTTCCTACTCCTCTTCTCTACCAGTAAAGCCCAGCTAATGTCATCACAGTATGCTATTGAAGCCTTTCCTGCTCCCTGAAGTCAAAGTGAATGGCTTCTCCCTTTGTGATTTGAGAGCATTTTCTCATTCTAGTAGTCTAATTAATTCCATTCTGACTTGGCTGTTATATATATGTATGGCTTCTTCACTAACTGTATGTAGGTACAATAAGGGATCTTTGAATTTTGGTTGAATTGCATCAAAAAGGTAAGTGACCGTGATTTAGAAGGATTTTCATCTGGCCCTGACCAGTTTGGCTCAGTGGTTAGAACATTGGCCCTTGGACCAGAGAGTCCCGGGTTTGGTTCCTGCTAAGGGCATGAGCCTCAGTTGCAGTTTGTCCCCGGCCCTAAGTGGGTGCCAACCACTCGATGTGTCTCTCTCACATCTATGTTTCTCTCTCTTCTTCCCTTTCTCCCTCTGGCTCTATCTGAAGATAAATGCAAAAATGTCCTCAGGTGAGGATTAAAAAAAAAAAAGGTATTCTCATCTGTGTCAAATGTCTCATCTGTAGAAATAAAACTGAATGAAATGTTTTCCCATGTTCCTCGTCTATAGAGGTTGTTTTGTATAAGTAGACTGGAGAATTGTTGAAGTGCTATGGATTGGGAAAGAAGGGTGAGAGGAATAAAACTTACCTTCTTGCTACCTTGTTACTTCAATGTACAGAATCAGATTTCTTTATTGTGACCCTTTCCACTTTATGCAGAGCATCTATTAAGAACATCTTCAACCAGCCGACCTGCTTCTCTGCCAAGAGTACCTGCCATGGAAAGTGCCAAGACCATCTCAGGTAATGACTTTTATTTGAAATTTCCTTTTAAAAGACTCTTCAGAAGTTTTAGTTATGGTGCTGAATACTTTCTTTTTAGACCTAGTTACATTTAGCTCTGAGTTGATTATTTTTCACTCTAAATTTTTCCTATTGTAGCTTTCAGATTCTATAGAAATCATATGGCCCTGTTATAAAAAAACAAAAACTGAAAAGTTCCATTCATTTAAAAAGTATTTATCAGATACCTAGAGTAGGTTAGATGATATGCTGAAAATACAGCTTCATACAAAGTGGATATGGTTGTGAAAGATTAGAATAGTTATCCCAAGGTGCGTCATGACTACTTCTGAAGAGTTATTTTAGAGCATATCAAAAATTCTCTGGAAGCCAGATTTTTTCCAGTGTGATAAGACCATTCTATTATGATAAATTTTATAGACTTACTTTGTCTCCTGGAATTAACTCTTCAGTTTATCAGTTGTTCCTATTATTTTCTCTTCATGGCCTTTTCTTATTCTTAACTCAACTACAAATTGGACCAGGAAAGGAGAAATTCCTATAGTTCTGCCTCCTATAATTAACATACCACTTGTACAAGGATTTACGCTAGGCAGTTTTTATACATCATAGCTGGCTCTTTAAATCAGTGGAGTATCCGGCCAGAATTACCACCCCAGAGCTTGGTCTCAAAGCTTTTTCCTGTAATAGAGTTAGTTCTTCTTATCCTTTCTCAGCCAGTTTTCTCTATTTTGTATGGAATGATGAAAGGTGTTCTCTTTCAATTTTCTAGCATACCACTAAAAAATACTGCTGATTTGCGACATAGAGACATCTGACATTGAAAGAAAAAAACAGTAGTAATTATAAAATATGTCAGAATATGTAAATGCATTATTATTCTAATAAGATTCTGTAATAGAAGAAAGCATCTGTCTCCTCTGGATTGTTAAAGATTACTTTTCTAAGGCAGTGTTATATTCTGCTTGTGGTTATTCTAAAATTATCAAGAACATTTTAACCAATAAAAGGAAAGCAGATTCACTAATGAGGGGAGGGAATTATTGATGTGTGACATTGATTGCATTACATCCAGCCCAGAGGTGATACAGTTAATGGACCCCTCATATCCAGCGTCGTCTGAGGTAAGAGAGATTTGTCTGAGGTCAGGAACTTTGTCTCCTATCTCACTTCTCACTGCTCAGCCCAGCATTGTCAGCACCTGCTTGTACTCAGCACATCCCTGCTAGAAAGCTGCTTTTTTTGTGGCTCTGTCATCAACAGCCGAAGTGGCTACCTCCAACAGTTCTCAGAGCTCCCTATAATTCTAACAAGATACAGTGTCTTACTATGCAGACTTTCAAAGCAGGATTTTTCTGATTATTTTTATTTCTCAGTAGCTGATGACACCTTTTGGTTTTCTGTCTTATTGATTTATATTTTTAAAAACATGGCCCATCCCAGAATTAAGTGTATCTCTTTTCTGTCCCTTTAACAATGTTTTTGGCTAATTTCAGAAGGGTCATGTTGATTTTAGTGGAGAATGAGTAATTGTCGAGTACTGCTTTAATTAGTCTTTGGTTTTTAGTTGTATTTGTGATTAAACGGACATTCTCAGAGTACTTGCTGCGTGCTAGGTAGGAACTGTGAGTATTATAGGGGAGGGTAAGACACTGCTCACTGTCAGATGATGTGAGGTTTAATGAATATTTCAACTCCTATACCTTTTTATAGTTTTTTAAATGAAACAAAAATAATTCTTCAACTTAATAGTAAGATAAAGAAAATTTTAGTTTTTCCTCCTGTAGGGCAATTTCTGCTCTTTTTGGAACCTACTGAAGAAAATGTCTCAAGAACTCAATTAAAAATGTTTTTGCTATAAAATGCTTAATGACTATTTTTTAGTGTCTCGACGAAGTAGTGAAGAGATGAAGCGAGACATCTCTGCACCTGAGGGAGCGTCACCTGCCTCTCTTATGGCTATGGGCACCACGTCACCACAGCTTTCCCTGTCCTCCTCTCCCACAGCATCTGTGACCCCCACCACTCGAAGCCGGATAAGGTAGAGAATAGTTAATATTGATGCATTTCGTGTGTACCTGTTCTGACCTTTTGAGAGTAAATGATCAAGTTATAAAGTAATGCATTCAGGTACAGATTTTTTTTCTTTCTTTCTTTGAGTGTTATTCAGTATCTCTTCTTCTATGCCCAGAACTGGGTAAGATGGTATAGAAGTAAAAAGTAAACCAGCTCTGGCCAGTTTGGTTCAGCGGTTAGAGCACCAGCCCTCAGACTGAAGGGTTGTGGGTTTGATTCTGGTTGGGGGCATGTGCCTGCGTTGCAGGTTTCCACAGCCCTGATTGGGGCTATGTGAGAGGCAGCCAGTAGATGTGTCTCTCTCAACATTGATGTTTCTCTCTGTCTGCTCCCCCTTCCACTCTCTCTAAAAAAAAAAAAAAATTCAATGGGAAAAAAAAGTGAAACAAAGTTAAAAAGATAGTTTATTTTCCCAAAGAGATAGTTTTCCCAAGCAGTTGGTGTTTTTTTTTTTTTTAAATTAGTGAATGGTTGAATACAAAAGTAAGTATTGTGGAATTCAAATACTGGGGATGTGGGTGGAATGTTAGGGAAGGCTAGAAAAGTAGAATTTGAGTGGAGCCTTGAGGGCGGTGGATGGGAAGGAAGGCAGGCAGGCATTATTGTCAAGGCCAGTGACTTGAGTGAATGTACAAAAAAGATTAATAATTGAGGGTGTGGTACTGCACACATAGAGAGGATGCGTACAGAAAACCAGAAGAAGGTGTGTACCTACATATCCGGGGGCAGTGTGTAAGATTGACTAGGTAATATGTGGCTGAGCGATGGAATCTCTTTAAAGTCAAATTGAGTCACTTTGATGGGGTAGCAGCTATAAAGTGGGGTAAATAAATTAGTGTGAGAAAATGCAAGGATTATTCTACCCTAAACCAAAGTTGAAGAAAGCAGCCAGAGGATATTATACTGTTTTTGAGACAAAGTTATCAAGTCTGGACCAGGTGACAGTAGTGGAAATGGTGAAGGGAGGGTTGGGATCAGGAGGTTTTGCAAAGGTAAAGATAATAAATTTTGGCAATTTTTAGAAAAGGAATGAAAGAAGGAGAGCTACCAAAGATGGCTGAGAACATGAGGCTACATTATTGATTAAGAAACAATACATGAAAATGTAGTAGTATATTTTATTCCTATTTGTCTTATGTCAGAAGCCCATTTGGGACTAAGAAGTATTTATAATTTAGAAGACAAAAATAGATACCAAAAATTTAGCATACATTGTTTATAGAAATGAAGAAAAACTCTTTTTTTTTTTTATCCTCACCCGAGGACATTTTTCCATTTTTTGCACAGATAGAGTGGGAGGGAGAGAGAGGAAGAGAGAGAGAGAGAGAGAGAGAGAGAAACATCAATGTGAAAGGGACACATCGAGTGGCTGCCACCCGCACGACCAACCAGGGCCGGGGACAAACTGCAACCGAGGTACGTGCCCTTAGCGGGAACCAAACCCGGGTCTCTCCAGACCGCAGGCGGATGCTCTAACCACAGAGCCAAACCGGCCAGGGCAAATGAAGAAAAACTCTTTAAGAAGTATTGGGAGGAATTAAGCATAAAGAGGAATTATGAAGAATAGCCCTGGCCGGTTTGGCACAGTGGTTAGAACATCGACCTGTGGTCCAGAGAGACCCGGATTCGGTTCCCGCTAAGGGCACGTACCTTGGTTGCAGTTTGTCCCCGGCCGTGGTTGGGTTGTGTGGGTGGCAGCCACTCGATGTGTCCCTTTCACGTCGATGTTTCTCTCTTCCTCCTACTCTATCTGAACAAAAAATGGAAAAATGTCCTCGGGTGAGGATAATAAAAAGAAGAAGAAAGACATATTAAGAGTTGAAAGTGGGATAGGGGTGGGTTTCAGAAATTTAGCCATATATTGACTTACAGGTTTGAAGATAAAATAGAATATTTGGCATCTCAGACTCAAATTATATACTTAACTTTTTTTTTCCTTTATTGATTTTTAGAGAGGAGAGAGAGGGATAGAAATATCAATGACAGAGAACATCGATTGGCCGCCTCCTGCATGCCCCCCACTGGGGATTTGGCCCACAACCTGGGCCTGTGCCCTGACCAGGAGCCAAACCTCTTGGTGCATGGGTCAACACTCAACCACTGAGCCACACCATCCAAACAGTACTTAACTTTTAAAGTAAAGCCCTGCCTCTAGGGGACCAACCTCTTAGAATTGTGGTCCCATTAGCAGTGCACCATTGGAGCAAGTAGCGATGCAGATGGTGATAACGTACCCTCAGCTCTGACTGATACATAGGAGAGCACTGCTCGTATTTGTCTTTGTACCTTTGGGAAGGGCACCCACTATTTCTGGCTGCACCACTTAGGAGCTGTGATCTTCAGCAAGGCTTCTCCTGGCCTTAGTTTCTTATCTTACAATGAAGAAATTATAAGAGGCAACCCTCTAGCTCTAGGAGACTTTCTGCAGCTTCTTATTCTGTTCATATAGTTTACTCTTTTTTTTTTTTTTTTATGCTTTTGATGTGATTTCTATACTAAAACCTATAATAAGACCTAATGTGAGCCAGAGTGAACCTTTCACATTGATTGTAGCTTTTATTTTTGCATTATGGGGGTTTGAGGAAGAGGCGGGAGCTTGCCTTTTTGCATTCATTCACTTAAATTGTTATTATTATTATTATTGTTATTATTATTTTTAGTCCTCACACGAGGATATTTTTCTATGTATCTTCAGATAGAGTGGGAGGGAGGGAGAGAGAGAGAGAGAAAGAGAAACATTGATGTGAGAGAGACACATTGACAGGTTGCCCCCTGTACTACCCCAACCAGGGCTGGGGACAAACTGCAAATGAGGTATGTGCCCTTGGCCGGAATCAAACCCACAACTCATTGGTCCACAAGTTGATGCTCTAACTGCTGAGCCAAACTGGCCAGGGCTCATTCACTTCAGTTTATCTTCATACTCTTTTTCTATGTTCAGTGATGTTACAACAAACTTCTTTGAACCCTTTAAACCAAAGCTGAAATTTGGCAGGTTGGTACAATATGAAAGTATATTTCTTCAAGGTAGCAGTCTTAACTGCATGTTGAAATATTTTTGTATTTCACTTTGGTTCTAAGATAAGTAAAAATTGGTGCTATTGCAATATACCTCTCAAGTGGAAAAGCTTCTGTTCTAAATGTGTATTCTTTGATTTCCTAACATATTCTGAAGGGTAAATACAGACTCAGTGTGCTGAAGAATACTAAGCCACTTGTAATCATCTCTAGGGCACTTATTAGGCTAAGTTTATGGTCTTGGGACTACAATCTCTGCTTTATAAAATAAGCACTATCCCAGCTGGTGTGGCTTAGTTGTTGAGCATCGACCCATGCTCCAAGAGGTCACTGGTTTGATTCCCAGTCAAGGCACATGCCCAGGTTGTGGGTGCAATCCCCAGTGGGTGGCATGCAGGAGGTGGCCAATCGATGTTGTCTTTCATTGATGTCTCTCTCTCTCTCCCCACCTTATCTCTTTCTAAAATCAATTTAAAAAAATTATAAATAAATAAGCACTAAAAAGTAGACCAAGCTTTTAAGAGTATGCTATTTGTCAAGGAGCAGGTTATTTTATAAAGTACTCTTTCTCTCCAAGAATTCTTTAATATTCTGTTCTACATCTAAAGTGGCTATTGGAAGGAAGGATTTGATTGTCCTCCTCCTGCATGTCCCCCACTAGGGATTTGGCTCACAACCTGGGCGTGTGCCCTGACCAGGAACCGGCGACCTCCTGGTGCATGGGTTGATGCTCAACCACTGAGCCACACTGGCCTGGATAAGTCATGTTTTTAAAAGATGAAATGAGCCCTGGTTGGTTTTGCTCAGTGGTTAGAGTAGAGCATTGTCATGCAGACCAAAGAGTCGTGGGTTGTATTCCAGTCAAAGGCATGTACCTCGGTTACAATTTGTCCTCAGTCCTGGTCGAGGTCATGTGGAGGCAGCCAGTCAATGTGTCGCTCTCACATCAATGTTTTTCTCTCTCTCCTCCCTCCATCCTTCCCACTCTATCTGAGATACATAGAAATATATCCTCAGGTGAGGATTTAAAATAATAATAATAATAATAAAATAAATAAAGGTGAAATGAGCCCTGGCTAGTTTGGCTCAGCTGTTAGAGCATCAGTCCACAGACCAAAGAGTTATGGATTTGATTCTGAACAAGGGCACATACTTTGGTTGCGGTTCATTCCCTGGCCCTGGTCGGGGGTCGTGTAGGAGGCAACCAATCAATGTGTCTCTCTCACATCAATGTTTTTCTCTCTCTTTCTTTCAACCCCCCTAACCCCACCCTCCCACCCCAACTCTATCTGAAGATAAATGGAAAAGTATCCTCGGGTGAGGATTTTTAAAAAAAAAGAAAGGTGAAAGGATTATAGACATCTTTGGAAACAAAAATGAGTAAAAAAAAACAAAGCATAAAGATTATGAAAGGGTAAGATATTGATGAAAGGCAGCTATGACAATTTTCAGATGCTGCCAATATCGGGTTGTTTTTTCTCCTTCTGAGCATCCTGGAATTCATCCCATTAATTGTGAATGCATGTTGTACTGATGCCAGTTTTCATGTGGGTAATGAAAACTGAGTACCTCCCTTCAGGTAGCAGAAAGTCCTGACAGTGGTGGGTCTGTGGAGACCCTGTAAAAATTGATAGGTAAAATCAAATGAATGAAAAGATGCATCTTGCCTTTGGATGCCTTAGTGCGTGCATTTACCCTGTTCAAAAATGCAAACCAACACTGGTCTTTTCTGTTTGTTGGATTTCTGGTTTATAATGGTACTCAAATAAAAAATATTTCAACTTTGGGTTTCTTATTTTCACTTAATCAGGGAAGAAAGGAAGGATCCTCTCTCAGCATTGGCAAGAGAATATGGAGGATCAAAGAGGAATGCCTTGCTGAAGTGGTGTCAGAAGAAAACAGAAGGCTATCAGGTAAACCATATGGTTTTTTCGTCCCACATGAGCAATTGCCAAATCAAGTGCTGGAGTGTCATAGCTTGCTACATATCTCACGTTAGAAATGATGAGTCCTATGCTGAATTTCAATAGTGCATTCCACACATTGAAAGTCTATCCCAAATTTGGTGGCGTGTCAGATAAGTAAGTTTCTTCCCTTTCTAGAGTAGTTAATCTTTGCTTAGTCAGCTATTATAGCACTTTCTTAAGTCCTTGTTAAATGTTTTTGTTGTCTCATCTGGACTCAGTGAAAATGGTTTCATTTTACTTTAAATTAGTATTTTAATTATTATGTTTGAAATCTTCTTTTGGCTAAGTTGTTTTTCATAGAATTTTCTCCTTCCTGCTATGCTGTCTGTGCCCTAATCACTTCACATCTGGACTAGTTTAATAACCTTCCCTTTCTTCCCTTGTTTGTGTCTGTCTGTCTCTTTTCCCCCTTTCAATATTTTGTTTTAAGTAGTGTTAAATGTGGTATTTGGAGAGAAAATCCTTGTTCTACACACAATGGAAACTTTAAAAATATATCCATTAGACTACTAAAAACTAGTTTAGATTTACAGTGTCTTCACATATGATTTTAGTTACAGAGACTTCCCAGCCTGCAGCCAGTGTTTTCAGTTGCTGTTTTATATTTTGGTGCAACCACACAGAAATACAACACGAGAAGGGAATTAAAGTTCTGTATTCTTGGACTCATCACATCAACTCTCATCTCACCAAAATGACATAAAAGAACTAGCTATAACATTTTCTGACAATTTTTGCGTAAAAGAGGTGATGGAGTAGTGGAGAAGCATATTAAGATCTGCCATAAGTAAATCCCTTTTGGACAAATTTGTACATGACTTCAGACAATGATCTTCAGTTCATTTATGATTGAAGAGCCAAGTACATTGCAATCAACTTTCAATTCTCAGAAAGCCATAAAAGTCAGTGAGGATTTGATAAGTGTTTAAATGTCTCCAGCTTCCATTAGATAAAAAAGGGACTAGTCGTGTTGGCAAGGATGTGGAGAAATTAGAACCCTTGTACACTGCAGTGTCTGTAGAAAAAAGTATGGTGGTTACTCAAAAAATTAAACATAGAATTACTGTATAATCCAGCAGTTCCACTTCTAATGTGTATATACCTACCCAAAATAACTGAAAACAACGGACTGGATGAGGTATTTACACACCCATGTCCATAGCAGCACTGTTCACAATAGGCAAAATGTGGAAGCAATCCAAGTGTCCAATAGATGGATAAATAAAATGCAGTGTACCTACAGTGGAATATTATTCAGCCTTAAAAAGGAGAAAACTTCTAACACATACTACAAACGTGGATGAACCTTAGACATTATACTAAATGAAATAAGCCATGTACAAGAGGACAAATATTTATGTAGTAGTAGTCAGATTTGAGTAGTCAGATTCATAGAGACAGAAAGGAGAATGGTGGTGCCAGGGACTGGGAACAGGGGCCAATGAGGAGTTATTGTTAGAAGAGTACAGAGTTTCAGTTTGTGCAGCATGAAAAAAGTTCTGAGGATGGGTGGTGGTGACGGTTGCACAACAATGTAAGTGTATTAATGCCACTGAGCTGTACACTTAAATATGGTTAAAGTGATAAATTTTATGTTATGTATATTTTACCACAATAAAAAATTACTTAGAATACAGTAGACCCAGACACATGAAAGTAGGGCACAGACTGACATCCCTCAGAAGAGGGGATGGGGGGTTGGGGGGGGTGGGAAGAGATAAACCACAGAACTTATATGCATGTATGCATGACCAACGGACATGGACAACTAAGCCAGGGACGGGGCGGAGGTGGGGTGGGGTGGGGGGTGCCAATGGGGTAAAAAGGTAAAATATCTGTAACAAAAAAATAAATAAAAATTTATATATAAAAAAAAAAATTACTTAGCAAAAAAAAAAAGTTAATGATTGGAATATAACTAAATAGAAAATCAGCAAGGACATAAGACTTGAACTATGTCTTGAATACATGAACTATATACTTAACTAGACCTCTAAAACATTTATGGAGAGTAAACATTCTTCTCAGGTACACAAAGAATATTCCGGTATAGGCTATGTATTGAGTTATAAAACCAGTCTCAATACATTAAAAATATTGAAATTATACAAAGTGTCTTTTCTGATTGCAGTGGATTGGAAGTAAAAATTAATAACAGGAAAATTCACAATATACTAAAACTTTTGAGAGGTGTCAAAAGCGGTTCTCAAACATAAATTTATAACTGTAAACACCTTAAAAAGAAGAAAAACCTCAAATTAATAACCTAACCTTCCACCTTAAGAAAGTAGGAAAAAAAGAGCAAACTAAATCTTTAGCAAGCAGAAGGAAATGATAGAGATTAGAGCAGAAGTAAAGGAAGTAGAAAATCAGAAGATAAAATGAAACCAAAAGTTGGTTCTTTGATGATAGCAAATCAACAAACATTTAGGCAGATTGACAAAGAAAAGATGAAAATTACTAAATTTTAGTAAGGAATAAAAGAGGAGACATGGCTAATAATTTTACAGGAGAAATATAAAAACAGAATATTATGAACAATTGTATGCTGGAAAATTAGATAACCTAGATGAAATGGACAAATTCCTAGAAATACACAAACTATCAACATTGACTCAAGAAGAAGGAAAATAATGAATAGGCCTGTAATGACTAAAGAGATTGAATTAGTATTAAAAAAAAAACTTCCAGCCCTGGCCGGTTTGGCTCAGTGGTTAGAGCGTCCACCTGTGGTCCGGAGAGACCCGGGTTCGGTTCCCGCTAAGGGCACGTACCTCGGTTGCAGTTTGTCCCCGGCCCTGGTTGGGCGCGGGTGGCAGCCATTCGATGTGTCCTTTTCACATCGATGTTTCCCTCTCTCTCTCTTCCTCTCTCTCCCTCCCACTCTATCTGTACAAAAAATGGAAAAATGTCCTCAGGTGAGGATAAAAAAAAAAACTTCCAGCAGCTCTGGCTGGTTTGTCTCAGTAGAGCACCGTGGGTAGAGCATCAGCCCACGGACCAATGAGTCACGGGTTCAATTCTGACCGGGCACATACCTCGGTTGCAGTTCGTCCCTGGCCCTAGTCCAGGTTGTGTGGGAGGCAACCAGTCGATGTGTCCCTCTCATGTTGATGTTTTTCTCTCTCCCTTACTCTCCCTCTCTCTCCCTCCCACTCTACCTAAAGATAAATAGAAAAATACCCTCAAGTAAGGATTTAAAAAACAACAACAATAAAGAAAAGCCCAGGACTACACAACTTCACTGGTGAATTCTACCAAGCGTTTAAAAAAATTAACATTAGTCATTCTCAGTGTCTTCCAAATATAGAAGAGAGAGCACTTCCTAACTTATTCTGAGACCAGTATTACCTTGTTAACAAAGTCAGAAAAAGATAATTACAAGTAAAGAAGACTACAGCACAGAAATCCTCAACAAAATGCTGACAAATAGAATCCAGCATTAAATATAAAGAATTAGCCCTGGGCAGTTTGGCTCAGCAGTTAGAGTATCGGCCCATGGACCAATGAGTCGCGGGTTCGATTCTTGTCAAGGGCACATACCTTGTTTGTGATTCATCCCTGGCCCTGCTCAGGTCATGTGGGAGATAGCCAGTCTATGTATCTCTCTCGCATCAATGTTTCTCTTTCTCCCTCTCTCTCCCTGTCTTCCTCCCTCCCTCTCCCTCTCACTGTATTTGAAGATAGATGGAAAAATATCCTTGGGTGAGTATAAAAAAAATAAAATGAAAAAGAATTATACACAATGACCAAGTGGAGTTTATCCCAGGAATGCAAAGTTGGTTTGATGTGAAATTTATTGTAATATGTCATATCAAAAAATAAAGGGGATGCCCTGGCCAGTTTGGCTCAGCAGTTAGAGCATCGGCCTGCGGTCCAGAGAGACCCGGGTTCGGTTCCCGCTAAGGGCACATACAGTACCTTGGTTGCAGTTTGTCCCCGGCCCTGGTCAGTCGTGCGGGTGGCAGCCACTCGATGTGTTCCTTTCACATCGATGTTTCTCTCTCTCTCTCTCTCTCTCTCTCTCTCTCTCTCTCTCTCTTCCTCTCTCTCCCTCCCACTCTACCTGAACAAAAAATGGAAAAATGTCCTCGGGTGAGGATAAAAATAAATAAATAAATAAAGGGGAAAAAAACAAAATAATCTTAGTAGATGCAGAAAAGGTATTTGACAAAATTCAAAACCCATTCATGATTTTAAAACAAACAAACATTTAAACTAGGAATAGAAGGGAACTTTTTCAATTTGTTAGGGGGCATCTATGAAAAACCCACAACTAATATTATACTTAATAGTGAAAGACTGGATGCTTTCCACCTAAGATCAGGAACAGGAAAGGATATCTACTTTTACCACTTCTGTTCAACATTATCCTGAACATGCTAGCTAGGACAGTTAGGCAAGGGAAAGACATTGAAAAGGAAGAATAAAACTATTTCTGTTTACAGATGACATGATTGATACCTAGAAAACCTTAGAGTTCACATAAAAACTGTTAGAGCTAATAAATTCAGCAAAGTTGCAGGATATAAGGTCAATGTAAAACTCATTTATTTCTATATACTAGCAATGAAAACTCTGAAAATGAAATTAAGACAGCATTTCCATTTTTAAAAGCATCAAAAAGAATAAAATTCTTATAAATAAATTAAGGGATCATAAGGTTTGTATATTGAGAACTACAAAAGGTTGCTGAAAGAAATTAGAGAAAATTTAAGTAAATGGAAGGACGTCCCTTGTTTGTGGATTGGAAGTTTTGATACTGCTCCAACATGGATGAAAATATTATGCTAAGTGAAAGGAGCCAGACATAAAACTCCAACCTAAAAGACTTTGATACTCCAGACCTGAAAATAGGTATAAAACTGATTCTCTGAGCTTTGCTTAGTGGCAAGAACCTTAATTCTAGTGGCTGATCTAGTTTGATCTAGGACTGAAACATCAAG